GGACAAAGTTAGTTCCCCGATGTTTGTGGAATTGTTGAAATTAAGCTATGCTGTACTCAAAGAAGCCCCCGGAGCCCCGTCTGCTCCCCCCCGCGCCTCTCCCTCCGAGCCTTTCCTCTCGTTTCCATCATAGAATGCTTCCAATCTTTTTTGTGAATTTTTTTATTATAAGAAAATCTATTTGTATCTATCCTAACCAGGTTGGGGATATATTAAGCTATTTTTGTACATAAGAGAGAGAGAGATTTATAGAGGTTTTGTACAAATGGTTTAAAATGTGTATATCTTGATACTTTTTTTAATATGTAATGCTTATTACCTCTTCATGTTTAGACTTGTAGTCGACGTTACCTTACAACTGCCATTTTTGTATGTGGTTTTGTAAAGGACTTGGATTTCCTCCAGATGTACTTTAGCACCGACGTGTCTTACTTTATAGAAACTTTGTTAATGTATTAATAATGTTATTAAACAATGTTCAAAGTGAACAAAGTTTATGCAGCTATTGTCCAAACGCAAAATGGTAGCCATTTGTTTTTATATGCTGCCTTTTGAAAAAAAAAAAAAAGAAAAATACACAAGCAAGCAAGCAAACAAACAAGAAACCCCTATGCCACTGCCTTTTCTTACTGTTTTATTACAAACTGACAAAGGTCCTGTATAACCCTGTTTTATACAAACTAGTTTCGTAATAAAACTTTTTTTAATTAAAATGACCAGCTGCCTACTGCATGCAATTTTTTTTTTCTTTCTGCCATTGACAACGATGAATGTAAGGACAAAATGTTAAATGATGTTATGCCGGAGCTAAGCTGCGTATGAAGTGTTTGTACCTGATGGATGTAACACATATATATATATATATCTTTATCTATCTCTATATAAATATGCAAACATGTAGCGGTATCACCATTGTTTTCTTGCCCTTCTGTGTTGCAAACGTGTCTCCAAATCAAAAGACGAGGGGATGATTAATGATTGCATTGTCCTTCCTGAAATCACTGCACGTTCAAGAATTCCCCCCAAAAGCCCAAGTAAGTCCTAAAAAAAGAGGGCGCTCCATCCCGCAGTTTGGCGGCGTGACCCTGTCCGCCGCGGCTCTGACCCAACGGGGCAGAAAAACACGGGGGAAGAAGGCACGGCCACCACAAACACCGGCTGCCGTGTTGCCCTCTGCAAAGACAGTGCCTGGAGAAATAAAACCGTCGGGGGAAGACGGGAAGCGAGAGGCGAAGGGAGATAAAATTAAATAAATAAATAAAGTAGTAGAAATGGGTGGCAGCTCAGAGACACTGGTCTTTCTAAGCTTGGTATTCTACCCCAATAGCGTGATCTGCCTATAAAAGTACCCAATTACCAAGACTCAAAAAGAAATTGGACTCTCCCCCTCCCCGCTTTTTTTTTTTTTTTTTTTTTTTTTTTTTTTTTTTTTGGCTAGCCTGCTTGTTGTCAGTTAGCAAGGACGTGACCAGAATTCGCCTTCTCCTTTTCGCCTGGCTCCTGCATCACTTGCAAATTCAGTTTGCGTGCACCAAGCCAAGCGGAAAGCAAAGCGCAAAATGCATCTTACAAAAAACCCCAACAAAGACCGGGGAGAGCCAGTGTGTCGTACGGAGGTAAAAAAAAAAAAAAAAAAATCTAGCCCGCTCCGCTACAAATGTGCCGTCGAGTTGCGAGGGATGGGCTATTTTTAAAAAAGAGGTGGGAAAAACTTTGGTGGAGCACCCCAGAATTTTCTCTGAGTGTGTATGTGGGTGTAACTATATATGCATACATGGACATATATATACACTGGTGCATATCAATGTATAGTCCTTTCTGCATTGCTTTAAACGTATACGTGCATTTGCCCCTTCGCCTCCTCCCCCCAGGCCCTGAACTGATCAATATGCGATTTAATCGGAGGGGGGGGGGACGGGACGGGACACGCTGGGGTCACGAAATCCCTCATTACTTCAGCACAAACGCTCATTGTTTTAACCGCTCATGGAACTAATGTTTAGTTATGAAAATAATAACCGTTATATGCCTCCATCCGCTCTCCCTTTACAGCATCTCCTTTTTTATTTACCCACTTTTGCAAGTGTACAGATAAGGTATGCAAAGAAAGTGTAGCGAGTAATTTATAGCTATGAATATAACATTAGGATAATGTTTCATTCTCTTACAAAGGCGAAATTTCTCTTCCTTGTGTAGACAGGTGTTCTTTTTTGCTCACTTCTGAATAGTAAATATCCAGACTCATTAAACTAAAGGCAAAGTTACGCTGTTGTTCGCTACAATGTATAAGGCAGGCTCAGAAATTCACCACCTCCTCCCTCCTTTTGCCCCTCAGCCCCCTCCCGAAAGAAAGAAAGAAAGAAAAGAAAGAAAGAAAGAAAAGAAAGAGAGAAAGAAAGAAAACACACACACACAATTTTACTGAAGATAGGGAAAGGGCAAAGCAGGATTGGGGTAAATCTCATTACATCTGCTCTAATCGCTTAGCAACACAAAGCCTTTTCTTGTATTAGCGCGGAGAGCCTTTCAGCGCTGCCTGACAGACAGTATTCAGTTAGCATTAGTAAACTCCATAAATCAGGGACTTCTTTGGGCGCAGGATAAGTTTTAGAGCTACTCAGGGCTGGGGGGGGGGGGGGG